GAGCAGAGGCAGAGTTAGGGGATCATCCCCATGGAACCAGAAGGAAAATGTGGTCACTGTGTGCCACCCCAGGGGTCTCAGTGGCACTGGGGGTGCTCTGACACAGAGGATGTGCAGGATGTGCAGGGCACAGACCCAGAGTCACTCCCAGATCCCTGCAAGCCTGGGCAAACACCCTGGTGCCTCAGGCAGCGCAGGAAATGCTGCTGCTGCACCCACCTGGGCTGCTCTCCTCTTCCACCCTGATTTGGTCTGCTATTATTTACAGATATGTAAGAAAGGCATTTTTTTTNATTACTTCTTAGGCACTTACATCTGCATAAAGTTGCATTACACTGAGTACATCATCGTTTAAATCCATTACCTACACATAAATATGAATCAGATTTGCATTGCAAATGTCTTCATCCTCTGCTTTGTTAATCACAAATGTCATATCTAAATTACTTCAAAACATGCAATTCTGGCTCACCCACCAAATAGTTCCATATTGAACAAAATGAAAATCAAAATACAGGAAAAAAAAATCACAATAAAATAGGAGGTGGAGCTCCTCAGGGTGGTGGAAATTATTACCAAAGTCACCAGGATGACTGCACTGAAATCAGCTGTCAGTGACAGCTGCTCTGACACACTTCATATGACAACAGAAAAAAACCCAACATGGTTCAGTGCTAGAAAAACCTATTTACAAGTGTTTTCTTCAGTTTCCACCTAGGATTAGTAAGTGCTGATTTGACTGCTGGAGTGATGAGCTGGAGACACCAAACCAGTTTTGTGGGGCCTGGAAAACTCCCAGCGCAGGATCTGAGCTGGCTGCCTTCCATGCAAATGCTCCTGAGTTAATCCATGTAATGAATTTCTGTGGAGCACGGCGCTGCCTCATCTCAGTTCAGCTGAAGGCAAGTTAATGAAAGGCTCCTTTAACTGAATGCAGCTTTCCATGTTCCCTTTCAAATGGAGCAGCCAAATGAGTGCACAGAGACGTGGCTCTCCTCACCCAAACAGCCATTGCAGACCGTCTCAGATTGTCAGGCACAGCACAGGGTCAGCTGTGCCACCAAATTGTCCCTTAAATGCTCAAATCCATCACTGCTGGGTGAGGAACCAGACAAACCCTGCTGGGCTGGGCCTTCCCTGGGCACTCACCATGGCAGCCAAATGCAGGCTCCAGGGCCTTCAGCTGGGAATGCTGCAATTCCAACCCATGCAAATGCTGTTGGCTCTTCAGGACGGACAGACAGACAGACAGGCAGGACCAGGCTGCATTCCCAAGGCAGAGCAGTTGGGGCAACGTCAGGGCTTGGCTGGTTGGGCGTGCTGGGAGCCGTGGGCAGCAGCTCTGTGCTCTGAGGGGCAGGTGGGACTGCCTGATCCAGCTGAGGTGTTAGAACATGGGTTGGACTTGGTGGTCTTAAAGGTCTCTTCCAACCTAGAAATGCTGTGATTCTGTGATTCCCTGGCTGGGAATTGCCCTTGGCACAAGCACAGGGCTCCCTGAGCAGGAGGAATTGCACTTTGTGTGAGCACAGGAATTCCTGAGCAGGCTCTGTGCTGAGTTTAACAGAGGAGAAGGTGCTGCCTTGCAGAGCAGGAGGGGTGGCAAGCAGCAGCAAAGCCAATACTGGGGGAAATGATTAAAAATCTGCTCCATGAGCCATGTTCCATGCCCTGCAGAGCAGATGAGGAGGATGCCCCAGCTCCACGAGCATCAGAGATCCATGGGCAGCCCCAGAGGGCTCTGCTGGGGCAGCACCAACATCTCTGTGCCAGGACTTGGAGCTGGAGCTTCTCTGTTCTCTGAGCCGTGCTGCCAGCTCCAGGCTTGTCCTGGGCACTCCTTAGGGACACTGCACTCTCCAGGGAAATGCCCTGCTCCCCTTGCCCCTCAGGGTCTGGGTACTGCCCAGCACAGGCTGCTCACCTTCCCTGAGAGCCTGCTGAGTGCTGCTGCCATTCCTCGTTCCCAGAGAGATGGAGAACGGGCTCTGAGCACACACCCGTGTGAGAGCAGCTCCTGCCAGGCATCAGAGCAGAGATCCAAGGCAGCAGCAAACAGCACAGCACCAACATCACTGCTCCTGGAGGCAAATGAAGAAGCCATCAGCACATCCAAGCAGGGAGATCACAGGATGCCCCT